GTCGTATGTGGTAGGATTCTTGCTGCGTACATCCCTCCAGAACTAAGTGTTCATATTGAGTCCACATTTCAAGGCTGAAAGGGCCTCCCTGTCAGTAACTTGTTCGCAGTATGTGATTTCGTCAGTAAACCTGACGAGTTAGCTTTTCAGCGTCTCTCCAAGGGCCTGCCTCATATCTTGCAGGCGTTGCACTGAGCCTCTCCCTCTCTTCATGAGAGATACTGGTTCAAAAATGTCTTTTCAATTATGGCCAACTCCTAATGCTCAGAGGTGGTAAGCTGTTGTACTATACCTCAACAACTCCAGTGAGGGTTAGATGGAAGGCCCTACATTTCAATGCCAACGAGGCTCCTCTGCGGCTCATCTGCGTCATGTACTTAGTTAGGTGTTTTTGTGGATCCCCTTTTCTTTCATATCTTAGGATTTTAGGGGGCATGAAGTTTGTAGGCATCAGGAAGCTTCGGATTTCTCTGGAGAAGGGGAGGTTGTCATCATCGTCATCAATTTCGTAAGAAAGGCATGGCCCTTCAGAGCCTTCCCCCTTCGACTCATTTTGGAGAGGTAGAGGTGCCCCTCCTCGACTACTCCAATCCACTAGGTTTCGTCTCTCCCGTCTATTTCTAGGTAGAGGAGGTGCTTGTTCTTATTCCCACTCTTGTCGAGCTGATCTTTGCACTGAGCGAACCCTATTGCTAGGGTTCTGCCCTATTTGGTTAAAGACGCTGACAGACCTTTGCGGTTCATATTCTGGTGGAAAGTTCTCTCCTAGCTATGGTTCTGCTGGTTGGCTCCCTTGCGCGTAAGATGTGATATCTACACCCACTTCTCTTTCAAGGGGGTGTTTCCAGTGCTGGTTCGAATGGCCTCGGCCTTGAGATGGAGGGATTTCTTGAGCTGGGTAAGATCCTTGAGGCATCTGGAAGCCCTAATGACCTCGGGCCTGCATGAAAAATTCACGCATCACCACATTTGAGCTGCAATCTCCCTTATGCCTACAGCTATTTGAGTCATTCCTTCAGTGAGCGCTGCTGTCCTATTGCCTTGGTGACACGGGTGATGGGGTCTCTGATGCATGACATTGGTCCAGGTCACTTCTTCTTCAGAGGGATCCCTATGCCCTTCAAAATTTGCATCTTCATTACTATAACTCATCTTGTTTACCTTTTCAAGGGTGTCAAGAACTTTTATTGTAGGTTGACTTTGTTCTTTTTCAAGAATGTGCCCTTTTTTAAGGTAAGTCAACGGTTTGCCGGTGGCTTTTCTAGTGGAAAATTTGAAACTTTTGGACTGGAAAAGATTCCCATAGAGGGCGACAATCTGTTGACCTCGTGAATTGGACCTTCCACTTGGCCAACGGATAGTCACTCCACGTAATCCTCCCTGTGCACAACAACGCACGATCAGAAGCACACGGCTGAAACCAGCGAGGGTGGCAGCGGCCGCATACACTCCAATGGTCAAGTCAGTGTTAATCGGAACAGTGCTCGAGTTATGCAAGAGAGTGGAGAGGAGAATATGTATTTCTTAATATGGAGAGCTAAGTTGTGAGAGTTTCATTACCTTTGTCTCTTGCCAAACCTTGGGTATTTATGGACATAGAGTACCGTTGAATGTGGAACACGTGTATACATCTAACGGTGTGAGGTGTCCGCTCATAGGAGTCAATCAGCAGTGTCTAAAGCAGGCGGGCAATTAATTCTTCTGAGTTGAGTTGACATAAAGTTGATACGTCACATCAACTAGACCTATGGAGACGTCACATCAATTAATCCTTGGAGGCAGAGAGGATCTTGAAACAGATATCTTTTTAAAAGTGGCGATGGAGGGATCTGTTAAAGGAGCACTTCAGAGTGTCTAACGCTTTGGCGTCAGGGGACGCTTCGGCTGATTCAGTGGATCGGGTCGTCGGATCACTTCGGAACCACTTTGGATGGAGATGCGGAGCTTTGGGAAGTGGTGTGCCTGATGTTCCTAAGTAGTTCAATTAGGGGCATAACAACCGTATTATTAAAATAATTCATGTGTATATCACTGAAAAAAAAAAGAATTTGACCGTACAAGTAAAAACACGACTCACCGAGCAGACACCACTATTGTATGAAATAGGAGGAATTAATTAAAAAAATTCAAATGTCTACGTTTTTTATTTTGATTTTTCTTTAATCGAATTAATATATTGAAAATTGTTGACCTCAATTTTTGCAAGGGTGGCGTGGTCAATAGATTCAGACTCCACTCACTTTCGAGGACAAATTGCTAGAAATACTTGGCCTTCTTTGATGTTGGGGAAGATGATTGCGTGCGCCCCGATAGTCAAGTCAGTCAATGGTACAAGCATATTTGGGTGTGAGATGATCGAAAGACGTGAAACAAGTTAGTCAATATGGGTACTAGGAGTTCACAAGATAATAGAAACGAGAGAGAGCAACCTTACTTTGAGTATGTAAAATTGCATTACTTTCAAATGGTAATAAGTGTGAGTTTTTTTCGTAAAAGAGAAGAGATTGCACCGTTGGATGAAAAGACACGTGATCTCATTCCGATGTCGACGTGTCTCCTCCTAAGTGCCACTCCAGCATTCTTAAGTTGATCGACATTTAATATTTATGAAAAGTAGCCATTCTAGAGCTTGGGTTCGATATTTGAAAAATGGACTAACAAGTTGATTGTTGAGGCGTCTACTATTAAGATGTTACATCAATCAAATCATAAAAATATCTTGCATGAAAGATTTCTTGAAAGCAATGAAGTGGAAAATGCTTTCTGTCAACAAAGAGGTTGATCGCCTCGAATCCCTTCCGCAACAGGTTATAGCACTTTGTTTAAGTCATGGAGAGTCGACCTATTCATGACTTCTTAGCAGAGATAATGCTTCAGTTCAGCTACCTCATGCGTGGCCTCACCTCGACAAGGTACAGTGATGTAGAGTGTGAACATGGTTGAACTTGTTAACTGGCTGTCATGTGATCGTAATCTAGAATCTCAATAGAAGAGACGTAGCAAAAATCAAAGTAATCATGCACGTTAGAGATAAAGTTCTATATAATTCAAATTACTCTTCGTCATAACCTTAATATGAATTTACTTACCCAAGTTTGTCAAGTACAAGGATTGCTCACAGGCGACATATAAGTATTGTCCATGCACACAGCAATCATCCACAAAGCCGTCACCAGTTAAAATATACATAAAATTTTAAAGAATCAAAGGATTCTCCTTTGAAGAGAGAAATCTAGCATGATGGCTTTTTTTTTTTTTTTTTAACGATTACAATTTCATTTTAGATTGTGAAGAGAAAAATAAATAAATAACAACAGGTAGGAACATCCTGCCTTGATGTTCAGATATGTAACTTAACTGTCTGATAATAACAAGTCAAATGTGACCAATCCAAATTTAATGCGTCAAAGTCGTTGCAGACTTGCAGCATTCAAATTGGACTTGATCGCCAGAATAGTCTCAAGGGTAAGGGGGAAAAACCAGATTTCTCCCATTAGAATTTTATTTTGTCGTACATGATAAGAATATGCTTCGTAAACTAGACTCAACAATGTTTATATAATTAAAAAATAAAATATTTATTATTTTATAAGTATTTCATAAAGTTAATAAAGATTGACTAGCTAAGTGTCTCCATCTTTCCAGTAGATGACATTCTAAGTCACCTTCTCATTTACGAACATGGTGATTTTATTGTGGCCAGGAAAAAATGTAGCACTTTATGACAAAGTCAGACAATTCAATAATAATATCTACCTCTGTAGAACCTTTGTCCTTTCTTTTTAGGTATTATACATATTTGTACAAAATTTATGGACACATAGCAGAGTTCTACATTAAAAATGATAAGAAAAGAAAATTGAGAATAGACTTTGTTTGGAGTAAATTATCTTAAAGATAAGATCTAAAAATATGACTTTTTTTTTAGTTATAGGTGGATTGTATTAAATCTAAGTCACACATTTATTGTTTATGTCTAAGATAAGCAAATCCAAGCATGCATGGATTTTTCATTATCCTTTTCTTTTTATTAGGAAAAAAAATAAATTCTTGCTTACTTTATACACTGATTTTCAGAACACCCGTATAAGTTATCCACTCTAATTTAATCCTTATTACTGAATAAATTTTATCCATTGAACAGACGATTAGAGTCTAATTGGATCTACCAGATCCACCTTGTTGTATACTTTTAAAACTTGTAATATGTTAGATTCCTTTTTAATTATTTATCGAAAATTATTAATTTAGTAAATAAGTAAAAAACATATATATTGAACAATGCACTGCGTTAAAAGTTAAAACACGTGAAGACAAAATTCGGCTTAAACAAATAGAGACTCACTTTTTCAACATTGACAACATTTTGTAAAATCAATTCTTGGACTGGTTGCCTTGCTGGCAGCCGCAGCGTAGGGGTTCGATTCTTGAAACATGAAATTGGACTCCTTGTAGGCGCAGTGTACATGCAGCTCTTGTTCCCTGACTTGTTGGGACACATCCCGCGATTTACCTTCCTCAAAAAAACTCTAAGGCGAGACGGTGGGAGCCCTCAAAGTTGGAATTCAACCTTTTTTTAATTCTTGGATTGGTTAAACTAGCACAGCTGATTTTGTTGATTTGAAATTGAACTCCTCCAAAAGTGCTAATCTTCTTTTTCGAAGAACATGACAAATGTCAAAAGATGGTCTCCAAACACAAAATATTTTCCAAGTGTGAAATCAAGAACCAATTAGCCCATGTTTGAGGTCCATTCTTTTGGGAAAATGCATTATTTTGCAGTGTTTTGATATCATTTCAATCACATATTCTTCAATAAAATAATATTACGGATGGACATTAAAATATGATATTGAAATAAATAAATATCTCTAAATAAATTAAGTTTGTCTACCATCATTTCTCGAAAAAATCTCATGTGAATCTTTAAAAATGAAAGAATTCCGTCACACATGTAAAAACACGGCTACTACAGGATGAGGAAATAAAAACCAGAACTGTAGAGAAATATTGTAATAGTACTATTTTATTTTTTATTAAAACAATTTAATACATTGGAAATCACAGCAGTGCACTATTAGCAAGGGCTTGAGATTATTCTTTATATAATTTTTCTTTTCTGGAAACAGATTATTCTTTATTAATTATTGGAAATTGAAAGCCCCAAAACATATAATATTCCTCTAATTAATTAGGTATTATATTTTGCTTTGTAGTCCATCCAGAGCTGATCTACTGTCTTGCCCAGAAGATCAACGAAGTAGGTGTTGTTGTAACCATCTCTCATTTTCTTGTTAAGTTCTGCAACAAATCCACTTCTGAGACTGTCGCAATAATCCAAGAATCGTGCGGTCACATCATAACCTTGATCCCACCTGTCTCCTTCCCCGGGTTTAACCCAATGACTTGGTGCATAACCAGCCTTCAGCCTCACATAATCAGCTATACCTGTTAAAGTTGTAAAATTTAACTATCCAATCATCAATATGATGTTAAAGCAAGAATTCAAATAGATAAACGCTATCTAAATACTGAAAGTTTAAATTTTTAGATAAAGTGATTCGAGAACACCTTCTATAAGACCTCCTGGAGCTTGACCATTTCCATTCCATTGCCAGATGTGAGTCATTTCATGATACAAAACTCCAGTGATCTCCGTTTTCACATCACCAGAATAACCCTGTATGTATCTTGCACTGACGTGAATCTCATTGTTGCTGGCATACGCAACTCCGTCCATATCATCGATGAATAAACTCACCTTCTGGACATTTTTTCTGTCGGCCGGAGTCGTGTCTTGTTGGAAGATTTTCCATATGAAATTCGTAGCTGCATCCAGCGTTTGGATGCTGTATTGTTCCCCAATCTCATTAGTGAATCTAACACCTCCAGGAGTGTTTGCTGCAGTGTTTGTAAATGTATAGTCCACTGCATGGATTCCTTGAATGGTGGCTAGAATTGCCAAGGAAGAGAAACAAAGACACAGTGTAATTGAGTTAGCCATGTTAACGTTTTATGGGTTTTGTGCTGCAGTTTGGTGTACTATGGTTCATATATGTAGATGAATGGGCCATGTTAATGTTGAAATGACGTGATGTGAACGAAGAAATTCATGTCTTCGTTCCATTTATGAGAAAGAAAGAAAAGTAAACGATGATAAATTTGTAATTATTCTTCTTTTTCTGCATTTTTAGCCACTGGGGGATTAAAATCATTTTTTTAATAAACTTTACTAAAAATTGATGAAATGTGTAGTTGAAAAGTTGTGAAATTCATAAAATATGTGGGTAAAATTAATTGTTGACTTTAATTTTAATCCACCTTCATCTCGTTGAAGTTTAACCTTCCCACCATAGCCTTGTGATTTAGCTTATCTCACGTTGATTGAAAGAGAGAAATTAGTAGAGCAAAACAAATAAAATGAATTTGAATTCTCCATATTGCAAACCAAAACCAAGTAGGGTTATTACTATTTACAGTAATGACAGATCTAGGAATGCAGGTGAACAAGGACGACCGTCCAAGTAGTCGTCAAGTATGATGGGGGGAAAAATCGACGGAGTCAACACAAGCGACTGCAGGGACTCCTCAGGTGTTGGCTCCATCCCCGATTGATGATAGACATGGCTTGAGCTTGGATTTTTATGAAATTGAACGTAGACCTAATCGTTTACCGTCCATTTCACGTCATATCTACTAGTCCTACCTAATTAAAGTGATCCTTAACCTTCGGACTTGTGATGCCTTCATGATAATATCCAAAGAAGACCTTGACTTGGACTTTTTAAAATATTGTGATTTGATTCTGGCCAAAAGTCAAAAATTGTACACTCCTTTTACCAAGTCAAAAAAAAAAAAAAAAAAAAGGTTGAACCCCAACTTTGAGGGCCCCCACTGTCCCGTCCCTAGAACTTTGTGAGGGAGGTAAATCGCGAGATATGCCCCAACAAGTCAGGGAATAAAAGCTCCTTTTACCAAGTCAAGTGTGTCTCGCTATCAATTCAGATATATCACTATAACTAATGTTTGATATAGGAGTGGGCACGAGTCGATTCAGTTCGGTTCGGTTCTAAAGAGAACCGAATCGAACCAAAATTTTCGGGTATCTAGTAAATAGAACCATCAGATCCAAATATAATTATGGAACCGTTCGGGTTCGGTTCCGCTCGGTTCGGTTCGGTTCTGTACTATAATTAAATTTTTTAACATTTATAACAACATTATATAAATACAACTAATGATACATTCAATGGTTTTGGAATGTCAGAGACTAATAGACTACATTGTTCAAATAATCGCTACGGTCAAAGTTTCGATCAGCGGATGTCACAGTTTCGATCGGAGGTCACAGTGTCTGCCGACGATTGTATAGGTTTTGGAATATTGGCGAGGCTGCGAGAATCGAGACAACGTTATGTACTTTAGTGTAGGTGTTTAGGGTTATTTAATGGATTGGATCTTGTTGGACTAAGAAATGAAACAATAAAATGGGTAATTGGGTCAAAAATTAAAAAATTAGAAATGAAACAAATTATTGGGCCAAAAATTTTGATTTAGAAATTGTTAATTTGTTAATTTGTTTAGAAAAAATTAAAATTAAAATAATTTGATTTACTCAATATAAAAAAAATTAAAAAGATTCGGTTCTTATTCAATTTTTCGGTTCTTAATCTAGAACCGAAAATCGAACTGTACCCGTCGGTTCTCAATTCAGATACTCGTTCGGGTATTTGATTTGACAAGAACTATCGGGTTCGGTTCAATTCGGTTCGGCTCGAGAGATTTGCCCAACCCCAGTTTGATACATAGAAGCCATATGATTTGAACTTTACGATAAATGTGAGAATTAGGTATGGTTCATCTCAGTTCAGATTTGATGAGATTCAATTTATGATATAACTTTGTACCAATTGGTTTTGTTTCGATCAGTTATGATTCTTTTATGTCTCATAACAAAATTGTAAGCAGTAAAGTCTTGATTACATTTTTGGAATTTAATTTTGAATTTTCTATTTTAAGTAAAAGAGTTAATTTTTTAAAGTACGTTAATATAATAAATTAGAATCGAATTAAAAAAATTGAGAGGTAAGATCATTTTGTTTGAGCCCCATTTTGGTGGGAAAAATGAATTTTTGAATAGTATATTGATAAGAAATGTGTGATTAAAAATAAGGAAAAATTTTGGATTTGCGTATAATATTATTTTATTGAAGAATGTGTGGTTAAAATGGTATCAAAACACTGCTGAAAAATGTATTTTTTTTTCCAAAAAATGGGGCTTAAACAAGGATTTAAATTATATTTAGAACAAAGTTAAACCGGCCAATTTGACCCAATTGTGGTCCGGCTGCCGGCTGGAATAGTTCCGAGAAAAGTTAATATGTAATCTCAATTTTATTTTTTTTAATTATTAAAGCAGTCTTTATTAAATTAAGGTAATCTGGGCTTACTTTCATGGAATTTGATGAGATATACCTTGAATTTCATAATCCAAACATTGAGCAACATGCCAACACCCCGTGTAATTAAATCTCCACTCAAATTCGATGACTTTCTACGTTCTTTCTAGAATTCCAAAACTGATCCTAAGGCGGTGGAAAACGACTTCGTTTACTTTGAAAATTTTGCAATTTGATTGCGAGTATGAATTTTGGAGGGAAAGAAAATAAATTTTAGATAATTCAATTGTTTAAAACCTATTTGTATGAAAATTGTCAATTTAATGTGTGTAATTGATTTAATTTTCAACCTAGAATATAATATAATTGTTTGGTTTTTATTGGTGAGTAAATGAAAGAATTCAAATAGATGAGAGAGAGAAAGATAGAGTGAATTTCTTGGAAAATATTTTCCTTGATTTTGAGGAAAATATTATCAGGTGAACAAAAGTAGGAAAATGTTTTACATAGAAAAAAAGTCAGTCAAACAACATAAAAGTATGAATTTGGATGAAAAAAAATATATTTTCCATAAAATATATTGACAATCAAATGCATCCTAAAAGTTTTTCCATAATAGACGATTTTAGAAGGCTAATTATATTCTGAAATAAAAGGCAATACATCTAAAAATATATTCTTTCTAAGAATACTGAGAATTCAGTAATCAAAGGTTCATTTAATCCTAAGAATACCGCAAATTTAACAAAGTTCAAAGAAATATCTCAATTTTCATTCAAAATATCAAAAAGATCAACAAGGAAAAAATACTCTAAACCGACAAAGGAGAAAATTGACCTTAAATAACTTAAGCTACAAAAAATGAAACAAATTATAGAAGTTGGCCGTCTATTGTATTATAATACAATAGTGGCTCACTATCACCTAACGATCTACATAGCATTATTTAAATAATTTTACTATCAACTCCAGAACCGGCACATTCTTTCCTTCATGTTCAAACACTGGCGGATCCAGGTACGGGCTCAACCGTGCTATAGCCCGTGTCCGCTCCTGAAAATATCTACTTTTTTTATTATTATTAAGATAAATCTAGTGTTGAAAAATTAAATTGTAGTAATTGAATTAGTTAACCCAACAGGTGAACAGTATTCACAGGGAAAAGGACTAAATGTAGGTTTAACTTTAAATAGTTAGGCCGACTTCATAACATGCAATAACATCACCAGAAGACTTTGCATCCACATCTTTAACTAATTAACATGTTGGACCGAATTCAGCATCCAATTTTAATGGGAAAATACACAAAAATGACCCTTACACTGTAGCAAAAATTGACATTGGCCTTTGACCAATTAAATGAATTAAAAAAAAAAACAAATTAAGTTAAAAAGAAAACTTCACAGTATTTTCCCATTTTACCCTTCAAACTGTTTGATAATTCTCTCACCGACCGAACCGACCGACCGATCGACCAGTGGAGAAATCCGACCGACCGACCACCGGAGTTACACCAACGTCGCAATCAACGATCATCATCTACAGTGGAAGTAAAAGAACCGGTTAGTTTTCTGATCAAAACTTCAGTTCGAATGCTTTTTTTCATAGTTAGCATCCTTAGTAATTTTGGTTGAAATTAGATCCATGGGCATGAGTAGCTAGATTGTGGGCATGCTGGAATGTGAAAAGTGAGATTTTTTGCCATTTTTTGGAGTTCAGTGGCCGGGAATGACGGTTTCCGGCCGTTTCCCGGCCACCGGGCCAACGAACGGCCAACAACGTCGCGTAACAGTAGAGTATCTGGGCCGGTGATCCGGCCTAGATAATATTTTAATTTTAATTTTTTTTATAATTTTTGTAATTAATTAAATTTTTTATTTGATTAAATAGTAATTATATTATTTACTTATTTAATTTTTTTTATCATTGTCAATATAATATAATAATTGAAAAATTGTAAAATTAACAATGTTGATTATTTTTTTATGAAATTATCTTTAATTTATTTTTTCAAAATTATTTATTTATTTTTTAAAATTATTTTTATGAAATTATCTTTAATTTTTTATTTCAAATTTATTTAATTTTTATATTTGTCTTTTATATAATTTAATAATTCAAATATTGTAAATTTAACAATGTTGATTCTATATTTTTATGAAATTATCTTTAATTTATTTTTTTAAATTTATTTAAATAATATCTATAGTCTAAATTTTAAAAAAAGGTAAAGTAATTATTTATTTAATTTTTATATTTGTATTTTATATAATTTAATAATTGAAATATTGTAAAATTAACAATGTTGATTCTTTTTTTATGAAATAATCTTTAATTTATTTTTTCAAATTTATTTAAATAATATAAATAGTCTTTACATTTTTTGAAAATGTAAAGTAATTATTTATTTAATTTTTATATTTGTCTTTTATATAATTTAATAATTCAAATATTGTAAATTTAACAATGTTGATTCTATTTTTTTTATGAAATTATTTTTAATCTATTTTTTTAAATTTATTTAAATAATATGAATAGTCTAAATTTTAGAAAAAGGTAAAGTAATTATTTATTTAATTTTTATATTTGTCTTTTATTTAATAATTCAAATATTCTAAAATTAACAATTTTGTGTTGTTCATTTTTTTTTATGAAATTATCTTTAATTTATTTTTTCAAATTTATTTAAATAATATAAATAGTCTTTACATTTTTCGAAAATGTATTTAATTTGAAATTTTTTGTTTGTAAATATATTTTCCAAATAATAATTATTTTATTTAATTGTTTAATTTTTATAATTTCCTTTTTTATATAATTTAATAATTGAATACATAATATTGTTCGAAATTAACAATTTGTTTTGTTCCTTTTATTGTTTTTTTATGAAAAATCTTTGATTTTTTTTCAATTTATTTAAATAATATTTATATTCTTTAATTTTTTTGACAATACGTTTAATTTGATTTGTTGTTTTTTGTAAATATATTTTTCAAATGTAATATTTGTGATTGTATGGTAGTTAGAGTTCGGTTCTCTTGATTTTGTGAGAGTATGCTTTATTTTGTTATCTCTTGTTCAATGCTATAACATTTGAATTTTTGCAGGATGGAGTATTATTTAGATGCAGAGTTGAGACGGATGTCGGGGAAAGCTACTTGGAACATTAGCTTTGAGAGTTTTACTGTTGTATTGGAGCTGCTCGATGATCAGCACGGAGATATTCTACGACAGTCCTTCTTGTGGCCACTGTACCAGTTGCGAGAGGTGCAGTATTCAGGACAGATCATTGATGCACTTCTATGTCGGCTTCTGAGTCCAGTCGACGGCGATTCCCTCCAGTTCGACCTCGGGGGCAAGGTCGTCAGTTTCTCGAAGTTTGAGTTTACATTGATCACTGGACTGAAGATTACGGGCGACGATGCAGCCATGGAGAGAAGCAGTAGGCTGTACGAGACGTACTTCCAGGGACATGGGTCGGTGCTTCTACCCGACTTGATGGCCGCGATCAGGGGGTGCGACCATATGCTAGATAGATTGAAGCTTGGGCTGGTCTACATCCTCGAGAGTGTGATGAGGTGTCATCACAAGAAAACTGTCATCGACATTTTTCATTTGCAAGTTGTTGACGACATCGATGCGTTCAACAACTATCCGTGGGGCCGAAGATGCTACGAAGACACCGTACATGTGTTCACCAGATCACACTCGAGGCCCAGGGGGTCGATGCGTAAATACGATACATACGGATTGCCGTTAGCAGTGCAGGTAAATGTTTAATATAATCAAAGTTAAAGTTTTAGTGTATTACATTGATGCTTAATAAGTGTATGTGTTACAGATTTGGGGGTATGAGACAGTTCCTGTACTGGGGGCCCGCTTTGCACAGCGAGGGGAGACACGCTGCCCTCGGATGCATCATTGGAGATCATCGCGAGCGGAGGGATGTCCCACCGGGAAGCAGTTATCGGCCCTCCTCGACGATCCTCAGGTAAGTATTATGTATTTGTGATTTATATTATATGTAGTTTAAAATTTTGTTTACATGATCGTTAAATAGTTGAAATGTCAATATGTCAGCTTGAAGTCATACCTGAGTTGACGCCATCGATGGAAGAGGAGGCTCGGGGTCTTGTGCGGGATTTAGGCGTTCCGCACACCCCAGACGAGGAGATGCCTGATCCGAGCTTGGACCGAGATTGGGTATGTGAATGAAATATAATTTATTGAATATGATCGACGTATAAATTTATTGAATAATTTTTCATTTTATTTATGTAGGAGGGCGGTCCAGCTGATCGATGATCACCTCCGCCGGGGTCATCGCCGCCACCATTGGCATCATCTCCGCCGAGAGTATCGTCCCCGCCATTGGCATCACCTCCGCCGGGGCCATCGCCGCCACCATTGGCATCATCTCCACCGAGAGTATCGTCCCCGCCATTGGCATCACCTCCGTCCAGACACCTCCCCCGTGTGTCTCCCGGGCACAGTGATGATTTGTATGCCCGTTTGATTGGATTTATAGCGGAGGATGTCGGAGCGCTACGACGAGATTTGACGGAGAGGGTTGATGATCTGGGACGAGAGTTGACAGGGAGGGTCGACGATCTGGCAGGAAAGGTTGACTATATGACAGGGAGGGTCGACGATATGGGACGAGAGTTGACAGGGAGGGTTGACGATCTATCCCATGATGTTGGAATACTACAGTCTTCCGTTGTCGACCTTCAGGATACAGTAGCGGCGCTTAGGGGAGATTTAGCCGGCAGACGATGGGGGGACAGAGGGGATGGCGGAGACCATGATCGAGAGGGTGACAGAGATGGTGATGGAGAGGGGGGTCACCCACATTTTTGGCGTGATGAGACATTGGAGTCCTTGTGGTTGTCTATGGAGGGGGTGGCCCCGATGGGGATGGGAGAGGGGATTACGGAGGGGGTGGCCCCGACGGGAGGGGCGGAGGAGGTGGAGACGGAGGGGGAGGCCCCGACGGGAGGGGCGGAGGTGGTGGCGACGGAGGGGGAGAAGGTGGCCCCGGAGGTCGAGAGGACGCCCGGCGTGATTGAGGGTAAGAGACATGCTGTTGATGAGACGGAGCAGGTGGTCGGCAAGAGATTGAGAGTGCCGTCACAGTATGTTGTTTCCCCCTTCACGGCTGAGGCCAAGAGGAAGACGTTCATCGATGGGACGTACCCGAACTTATTCAGAGAGGTGGACAATGCCAAGTGGAAAGCGTTCGAGACAGAGTGGAGGAGAATTATCCCCGGGTAAGTATTGTATGATTTTAATAAAGCACTGTACGCTAACTCTTCTACGCTTATTTTTAATATTTCCCTATTTTTTACAGAGCTAGCCGCACGATAGGACAAAGGACGATCTCGGACCCTTACAAGTGGTTCCACGATATCATCACTGCTGGAGCTTGGCTCGCTGACGATGTAAGTGAACTATTCATTTCGTGTTTTTTATATATATGTGACCTTGTGTTTATTAAATGAATAACTCATACTTTTTCGGTGTTTCCTGCTACAGCACATCGACCTGGTCATGGACTTGCTGCGAGATCGAGCTCAAAGACATCCAAAATCATTTGATGTCCATGGTCGAGTTATATTAAACACCGAGTTCCTGGGTGCCGTTACCATAGAGTATCAGTCGCTCGCACATATGGGTAACGAGTACACGGTGCCAGAATATATGCTCGAGTGGGTGATAGGACTGTCACCGAGTGTCGGGGGAAAATCATGGGAGGGTTGTACACATATGTACATTCCAGCGTGCATCAATAAACACTATGTTACACTGGAGATCGTTTTTGCTGACTCGACTATATATGTGTACGACCCAGATCATTCATGTTTGACACAAGGCCAGTTGGAGCAAAATCTGGAGTCCGTGGCTGTCATTGTTCCTATGATGGCCAGGCGAGCGGGGATAAATGTACAGGACAGATTGCGGATCGTTCGGAACACGACGACAGCGCGACAGTCCATAAGTTAAGTGTTTGAACGTTGTTGTTTTCATCTTTCAGATTTAGTTTTTATTTACACAGTACTAAACTGATTCATTCTTGTTCAATTGCAGCGGCGACTGTGGCATATTTGTCATTAAGTACATTGAATTTTTAAGTATAGGACATAAGGTTGATGAAATCAACCAGTCGTGGATACAGAACTGGAGAAAGAAGCTAGCATGTGATTTGTTCGAATTTAATGCTGACCCATAAATTTCAGTTATACATATGTAACATTTCAATTGTAAATTTAATTATTTTGGTAATTATGAAATAATTGTAAATTTATGTTCAATGTAATATAACATTCAAATTGGAAATTTAATTATTTTTTGTTATTT